TGGTAAAAATGACCTTCTGTATCTTTCTTTGTTACAGATCAGAAGCTTAGGTCTTTTACTTCTGACTGATGTTTTTATTTCAGGGAACAAGGGATGTTTGTTGTCTTAAAAGATGGAATTAATTCTTTAAGTGCAAGCTGTTATATGTACAATTCATCCAAGTAGGGGAATGTAGATGTTGAAATGTTACATGCTTTCCGTATTAGTCGATTTAATTTTTCTTTATCTTGTTGTCTTGTGTTCCCGGCCCATGCTGTTATATAAAAATTGTATAAAAGTGTATCTGTATAAAATCTGAGTTTTACAATAAAACTTGATAGGAAATATTATAATATTGTTCTTGTGAGATTTATGGCACGTTTCACGTTGCTTTTTCTCTGCTTTTGGGTTTTTTGATGTGTGGCCCCTAAGTTGTTTACAGCACAGTTCTGCCAAATTTGACATATCGTATGAATGTTCGTAAAATCTGAATGAAATAAGTGTGTACTCTCTCTCTCTCTCTCTCTCTCTCTCTCTCTCTCTCTCTCTTTCTCTCTCTCATCCTCTCTCTCTCTCTTTCTCTCTCTCATCCTCTCTCTCTCTCTCTCTCTATCTATCTATCTATCTATCTATCTATCTATCTATCTATCTATCTATCTATCTATCTATAACAGCTAGGGCCAAAGTTGTGAATTTTCCAACTTACCTTCTCCTTACCATACATGTGAGAATGAGGTCAAGGGAGAAACCACGGACACTGAGGGAGAGAGAGAGAGAGAGAGAGAGAGAGAGAGAGAGAGAGAGAGAGAGAGAGAGAGAGAAAACCACCTACCTGTCCGCTGCGCTATCCACTGTGCCCCAGGCCACCTGACGACGGACTGCTTACGTGTGGCGGCTGTTGGGACGTGTGTCTGTCACACTGAGGGGCTGTGGGCGAGGACTGGGGGGCTGAGAGATTGGAGGAGGGGACCAGAGAGAGAGAGAGAGAGAGAGACTGGCAGGTTGTTAGGTAGTTACACTCTCAGGAGCTGGTGGGAGAGGGGAGAGGACCAGGGGAGAGCGAGGGGAGAGCCAGGGGAGAGCGAGGAGAGGGCCAGGGAAGAGCCCCCAAGCTACAATGTGTGTCCCTGTGTCCCCTCGCTCTCCCCTCTCCCATCTCCCCTCTCCCCCTCTCTCTACCCTCTCCCCTCTCTCCTCTCACCCTCACTCTATCCTCCCCCTCTCCCCTCACTCTATCCTCTCCCCTCTCCCCCTCACTCTCCCCTCTCCCCCTCGCTCTCCCCTCTCCACTCTCCCTCTCACTCTCCCCTCGTTTAAAGACAGTTGGCTCACGTCCAAAACTTTAATGATACGGTAGTCCTTCCCTGTACATTCACAGATCCCACCACAACGGTAACGTGTAGAGATACCACCTGTCTAGAACATCCACGAAATGAACGCTCCCAACGATTGGACTACACAAAAACTTGCCAAAATTCTCCACATGAAGGGAATGGAGAGTCTCTGGATGGACAGTTTCAGTCACCGGGTAAAGTGGGGTGACGTTGGCCATTCACCAAGAAGGCAGTTTCTTCCTCTTTAAGGGCACCTCAGCCACATTTTTCAACTATCTTTTGATATTTTTTCTTACCCTTCAAAAACATTATTATGCCGTGGCGTTCAAGGGAAACTTGAAAATGTAAACACCCAGTCATCGTGTTATAGCCTTACACTACCCACTCATGTCATCAACCAATCATCGTGTTAAAGCCTTGCACTATCCACTCATGTCAATGTCATCAACCAACCAACGTGTTATAGCCTTGCACTACTCACTCATGTCATCATCCAATCATCGTGTTATAGCCTTGCACTACTCACTCATGTCATCAACCAATCACCGTGTTATAGCCTTGCACTACCCACTCATGTCATCAACCAATCATCGTGTTAAAGCCTTGCACTATCCACTCATGTCAATGTCATCAACCAACCAACGTGTTATAGCCTTACACTACCCACTCATGTCATCATCCAATCATCGTGTTATAGCCTTGCACTACTCACTCATGCAGCATACCAATGTAAAGCTAAATCAATTCTGCATCATCTGACACGTCCATTTTTCATCCACGATAAGAGAAGCCCGAGATATGGTCACTCAAGATTGACCTTTTAAAAAATCAGGCTTGGCAAAATTGTGCGAAATCAACTAAACGTAAAGTTGTCTTCGTGCGTGTATTGAGGAGCATCAATTATGATAAAAATAATGAATAGACATACATTGCATACCCAAGGAATAGAGACTTTTGTCTCTTCAATAAACAATATTTTAATACGGTAGTCTCAAACCAAACGGAACATAGAGCAGTCACAGATAACCCGTACAACTTGGACTGAACATTACATGTATTCATTACTGCAATTTTGTTTTTGTTTTTCAGAGAAATCCTGTGAATCCTCACTTTCCCCAATGACAATAGGGACCACATGGAACTCAATTTCCCAATGACAATGGGAACAACATGGAACTCAATTTCCCTATGACAATGGGGACAACATGGAACTCAATTTCCCAATGACAATGGGGACAACATGGAACTCAATTTCCCAAATGACAATGGGGACCACGTGGAACTCAATTTCCCAATGACAATGGGGACAACATGGAATTATAGTCCATGTACGTAAGTCCGAGACAACAGGCCATGGCAGAAACGTTCTTTGCAGGATTGCCTGGAGTGGGTGCTGTGTCGGGAAATTCTCTTTGAACATTTCAACAGCGATCTGCCATTATTTTAGTGCACTACTGTTGGCCTTGCTGCCATTCCTCCATAACTTGCAGGTCTCGGTGAAATCTTTCACTGGGCGCATCACTGACACCTTCAAAGTTTGGAAGAAATTAACATTTCTCTCAAAGACTTTTCAGAACGAGGGGCCTTGGTGCTTGTGTCGCAGCTCAAGAAATGGAAGTTTTCCCACAAAGTTTTGACCAAGTCCACGTCATTTTCTGCTGTTCTGCTGTCCCAAAAGTTTCTGCCCACAGACACAAGCGACTCTCACAATCTTTCTCTGTGCCACTTCGTCCAGTCTGAGCCCGGATCTCTCATCTCTTGTCTCCCTTTGGGACACCGAAAACACGACCTTCATTTTCTTGTAACTGAGATGAGGAAACCCGGCGGGACCACCA